AAGGAGATGCTAAGAACAAGTAGTTTGGAAAAGAAGTTGGTATGTGCAGCTTAACAGCTAAACTTGAAAGTCCTAATGTACTGAATTTTTATATACTCCTAGAATGCTAATTTATGCCACCTATAAGGGAAACATTTTTACATGGCATAGATAGTTGAAAGTAAGCAACCCAAGATTAATGTTTGTAAAACAAAGAACAAAGGCAACATTTCTAGTAATCTCCCAGTGTGCTGGAGCTCAGGCCAGTAAATGATAGTTAATACTAAGATTAACAGACGATATGGAACTAGGAAACAATCAGAAAAACACTACACTGAATGTACAACTCAAAAAACAAAGCAAGATGCCCAGAAGTGTTATATCATTATGAAAGAGAAAGAAGGTGGCTTTGGGGGGAACTTTCCAGTCTTCTGAGGACACAACCCAGAGCCCTGTAGCAAGCACCAAAATGAAGGAGGAAATAGGAATTAAAACACACCCAGGGTAGCAGAACACACAGGCAATCAGGACAGGTACTCCCATGTACAGTGTCCAGTCAGTCTTCAGCCATGTACCAGTGTGACAGCTTCTGGAGCAGCAGAACCAAGGCTCTGAGCACAGTGTCTCTTCAGGGGGTCTTTAGTGGCTCTCACTTGTCAGGGCAGGGCTCCCAGGAGTCATCAGGATGCACTCACTTGACCCCGGAGTGATGGATCCAGATGTATTTTGCTGTTTGACTATGAGATCTTGTCAGTCTTAGTAGAAAATTCCTCTGATCAGCCAGAGTAAGAGAAAGCAAGGATCAGCAAATACTTGGAGCCCCAGCATCGCTCAATTTCAGTGAAGTCCATTGGGAGATTTTTAAAAGAACAGAGCCTCATGTGTTAGATTTCAAGAGGTGGTCAAGGGCCTGTTGGGGCCTCAGCAGTCAATTTTGTAGCGTTATCCAACTTATGATAACATCTCGTGGCAACAAACTGTAGCAAAAGCTTGCTGGGAACCTTGGTAAACATTTATCTTTTGTCCTTTGCCCAACTGAGGGTCTGAATGAGCGCCCAGAGCTTGGCTTGATGAGCTGACAGTTTTGAGGAAGAGGTCCAGCTAAGAGCGATTCTTTGGTGTTAACAACAGTATACTCGGCCCTGTATGATCCATTTTTAACAGAGTTACTTCCATCTGTGAACAAAGTGTACTCACCATCTGCTAGAGGCTCCATCTGGAGGTCAAGGCAACTGGTGAAGCAATGCAAGGCAATTGTGGTCAGGCTGTCTGAGCTCTGCGGGCAAATAGGTGGCGGATTCAAAGTCTTTACTGGCTTGAAGGTGAGTTGGGGATTCCCAAGAAGCAGTCTGAGTGATGTGGCTGCTTGGAAATCACCAATATTCCAAACTATTGAGAAGTTTGAGAACGGCATGTGGCACCTGAACAGTTAAATTTTGTCCCAGAGGCAATTTGTCTGCCTCTTTAATCAGAAAGGCAGTTGCTGTAAGTGCCCACAAGCAGGGAGGCCACCAGTGAGAAACTGAGTCTAAAGTCTTAGACAAGTAGGTGATCAGCCTTTTTTAGAGTCCCACTGTCTGTGTTCGAACCCTGGCAACAAGTCGTTTCTTGTCTACAAACAGGTTAAAACAGTGAATTACATCTGGGAACTCTAAAGCTGGAGCTGAGGCTAGGGTTCTTTGGACTTGTTTGAACATCTCAGTTTTCCCTCAGAGTCTAACTTATTGTGTGTCCTTCCGTCTTGGGCTTTTAAAATATGTCATAAAATGGTCTGGCCTTTTTAGCACAACCCAGTATCCAAACTCAGCAGAATCCACTTGCTCCTAAAAACTCCCTTTTATGGTAAGGTCACAAGATGGAAGAGACGATCTTTGTTTTCTTTTTGGACCTGAGTGTTGAAGCCATTTTCTAAATCAAATCTTAGATATATAACTTATTATGGCATTGTTTTATATATTTTGGATTATACTCTTCTATTGGCTATTCAAGATGACGTTAACTGAGACGTCATTAATTAAAATTAACCTCTTGCTATCTATCAAGGTCAGTTACGTCTCATCAGGATTTGCCTTGCAAACACGGCGAGAGCTTCTCAGTTCTGGACAGTGTCAGCCGTCAGGATAGGTCACAGTCATTGCTTGACCAAGTTCCTTTCTGTGGAAGTGTAGGGGGATTTTTTTTCTTTCTCCTGGAGAGTCTCCTTAGGAACACTGTATATTATAGATAACTTCTTCCCTGTGGTCTCACAGTCTCCTTGGTCAGAAAACCAGGGACTCACAGTACAGGATGTCACAGGAAAGGTTCTCTCATGTCCTTGGTTTTCACTGATGCTGGAGGGCCAGGGCAACAATACTGGCTATTCTAGAGCATTCTAGATTTGGTCTCTAAACCTCAGTTGTTGAAAACTGAGAAGAGAATATCAGTGACATTAGCACTGCAGTGGGAACAGTGAGCACAGTTTTAATTTTATCTGAATATCAAGCATTTTAGAATATAAACTACAGCCAGAGCTCTGCTATTTCTTACAAGCCACTGATGCTCTAGTTGAATCCCTATAGTGTTAGCATGATGGTTATGTAGCTTTACTGAGAAAAATTGAGATTAAAAAACCATACATAGTATTTTAGCATAACAGTCATGATGACATTTTGTAATTATCTCTATCTAGTACATAAGAATTTTTCATCTGATTTGTTGTCCTTTAACAGGATGTTATTGAAGAAATCTGTGACATTGTTTGGACTGCCTAATGCTGAAGCATCTCTAAATATAGTGGCACATATATAACAAATCTATTACATAAATTTTTTTTAAAAAGTTATCATTTGACTGGTCACCTCATGTTGGTTTGACCTGAACCTCCCATCATAAGTAGCTGGAGCACAAGAGAAAGGCAGATGTCTGGATGTGGAAGAAGATGTCTATCACCATAAACAGTCCCAATTTTATATTTTAGGGCTTGTACATTTGAAACTATGAGTACATTTAATATACTGTAAGATTAGCAATAATGAACTGTCTTAGTCATACAAAAACTTCTTTAGTTTTGTACCAAAAGAATCTTTTATGAGAAAATCTTATTATATTATTTCTAAAAAGCTTAACCCTTTAATAATGATCAATATAAACATATCACAATAATGTTTCCAACATTTATTGGGGTGTCTCCCATAAGGCTATGGAGATGATTGGGGCTTTGCATTAATGGACAAGAACTGGTGATTCTAGGATGCCGCTTTCTTATGTATCAAAGAGAGTCTTGTCCAGTAATCTGTCCATATCCCAAGCCCAACATTCAACACAGTATTTTTGAAAAATGAGATAGTCTCAAGTCATGATACATAAACAATAATATACATTAAGTTTGCACAAGCACATCATTTTGACCAACTTGCAGCTGAGGTGGAAGCATGCTGTTAGATCTATAACCCGTATTAAGTTCTGAACAAATGATCCAAAAATGCAAAAGAACAAGAAGAAAACTGTCATGCTCAAATATAAAACAGCTGTTTGTGTATATAACAAACAAAGAAACATACATAGACGATCTTTGCAGAATGGACAGATGTAGAAACAGATATACAGCCTCATAGACACACACCATACATAATCAGAATGCACCCAGATACATTTGGTCAATTTGAATCACGGTAACACTTTTATAGTTTTTACATTTTTAAGTTTAGACCAGTCAGAACCTTTCTGTAAGTCAGTTAACACAGATTCTTGTAACAAGAATCAAAAAGAATAAAACCGTTTACACCTTTGAAAGCAAAGGCAGTTATTAAAGCAAAGACAGGTATTAGGCTGACGGTTATCTGACTGGAATATCCAGATTGCACTTGTGAAAGTCAAAGCTTATTCTAATGAGACAGACAGTTAAAGGTAATTTTAACTATACCTAGGGGGTGAGTAGGCCAGATTTGGGTAAATAAAGAGATTATCTCTGAGAGCGGCCACTTTATAAGATGTTCTCTAGAGAAATAATGAGGAGAGACAGGGCTCTGAGGACTGGGCTGTGCCTATTTTTAAATGCCCATTTCTGTTTAAAACTGTTATTAAATGTGTAAGGCTCCCTAGGAATGTTCTGTTCTATCAGTGAACCTCTCTGTGCTGTAAAAACCATTCTGTCAGCATCGTTCTTGAGAGGAGAGGAAATGGAGCAGTCTCCAGGTCTGCCTGAGGCCTAGAAGGCAGATAAACTGGGACTACAATTTCTACATTTATTTTCAAGGGCTACAGGATTACATCTAAACCTGTTTTTCTTCTTTGTTCTTTTAAATATAATCCAGAGTTCAGTGAGAATCCACTTCACTCTGAAAGGGCCCAAGGAGGGGAAACTTACCATTCTGGAAACTTGTCCTTAAATAAGCAGCCATGGAGGAGAAAATTATCTAGGATTAGATACTGTTGTATCCTCTCATTCCTCAGGGCCAGGCAGGGGAGAAATGGCAGAAGAGCGACTTCAAGTATGGCACAAGGACCAAATCCTAACCATCTCAGTGCAAAAAGCCAAATAAGATCAAGAGCTTTCCTGGGCTGAGTCTATCATCCTTAGCAAAAATGTCTCTAGCAATAGAAGTCATGATGGACTCCAGCTGCATTGTCAGAGAATTAAACCAATAATCAAACAATCTGAATAACTTTTTAATTTTTTGAAAGTGAGTTAGAGAAAAAGAATCCATGCCATTTCTACCTTTTAGGGCTTAATTTCTAATAAATGACTTTTAGTTAAAGGTTCTAAAATACCAGCCTGTGAAAGAAATCTATCACCTCCAGGGCCAGTCAGAGATAGGTAATAGTCCAAAAGAAACCTCCGTCATAGGACAAAGAGATACTTGAGATATTTTGAGTTCTTATCCAGTCACCTCCATAGTAGTGCTGGGTGGGTTCTGTTTAAACCCACTCTGAAAATGTATATCATAACATACTGTGTTTCTAACCCAGTTTATAACTCCAAGTACTCTAGAGACTCTTGATGTACTCTTTTAGAAACAGCTGGAATCTTTCTTAGATCTTACCTGATCTGTTTTATGTCACAGAGAGAAAAGATGTGTAAATATGGGTAGTTCCAACTACCCCATTTACTTTCTGTGGGGATATTGTCCTTGAGAGGCTTGAACAGAATCAGCCACAGATGTGCACGGTCTCATGAAGGGGAGGGTTTCAGTGATGGCTAGCCTCAGAGCTCCACCCTTAGGACCTGACGGCAAGGGGGAGAATCTCAGCCTCAGTAATAGTGGGTGAGGCTTAGTTAAAGTTGCCGTGGAAACCTCTCTTGGGGTTCTAAAAGTTGAAGGGAGCAGCCTCGGAACACTGAGAGTGGATGCCTTAAGAGCCAGCCGTGTCTGGCTTTCCTGTGGCTCCCATTTACACCTGAACACATGTAAGGATTATTTCTTTAGTGCAAAGAAAGTCTGAACATAGGGCAGTTTTGACCATTTTTACAGCACAGTTCTCATTGTGAAATAGCATCATAATCAATATTCATCTTTACGTTAACAGTGACTTTCAAAGGAAGCATCGCTTCATATTGAGATGAAGACACTGACTGGGGCCATAAATAAATCTCTGCTGAGTGATCCCTGAGCTCAGGCACTTACCATACTGTTTTAATTTCTGTTAGTAAACTACTTTTCTAAGATTTCCTCAGTACACACAACTTTCTAACCTTGTCATTGTCTCTTTATTTTCCCTTTAGTAGGACAAGAGCTTCACTACATAGGATTTTCGCATAGCAAAAATGTCAGAGATATTTCTGACATTTAAAGCCTTTTAAATATTTTTTACTTGTCATAACTTTTTATAATTAATTTGACTGTAGCTGCTTGGATTTTAAATTAAATTATTCCCCTTTTCCCTCCTTAGACAGTTAAATCTGACTAACTGCAGAAGATCTCAGAGCAACCTCATCCGAGGGCCAGTCTGCACTGCAGTCCAACTCCTCCCTGGGTCCAGGAGGTCCTCACTGTGTGCGGGGACTTCTCCTCTGGACTGCTGCAGAGACAGTCAGAGTAATGAAAGTAATAACTATCATCAAAGAAAAGAAATGTGAAGCCTACATTAGCTACCTGGAGTACACTCATGAATTCTAACTTGGAAGCCCAGGAGCTTGTCTATAAAGGAGTTCTGAACCCTGGTCTTCAGAGACTGTCACAGTTACTGAGCCACTCCAGGCCCTACATTCATGATTTAAAGAAGGAAAGGTGTATTTTGGTTCATGTTTTCAGTCCCTAGTGGGGAGGCTCAAATGTAAAAAGGGCAGGTGAAAGGGCCCGCCATGGAGGAAAGCTGCTCACATCATGAGCCTTATGGGGAGTGTTGTAGGTCCATCCAATGTGAACCAGCCATCTTAGGAGCATTTTAGTGCCACTAGTGAACTAGGGAATACAGGAAAATGACAAAACAAAATACAACAAAATACAGAGCAAAATACAATCTCAATCCTCTAGCTCATCCCAAACAAGCCTAGGAGACATGGACACAGAAGAAAATATAAGCCATTGTCATGGTTTATGTCAGTGACCCCCAAGCCTCATGCAATTATGGGTTTGTGATTGGTTCATTGTCTAGCACTTGAATTGGTGGTGTGAGTGCTACACCTCCCTAGGGGCAGAGCCAGGATATGATGCAATGGCAGGAAGAAGTTATGTCTATCTCTTCTCTTGTCAGTTCGCACCTTGATGTTTGCAGCAGCCATGAATGGCTGTCTCACGATGCCACACTGCCTTGCAGCCAACTGAGTTTGGACTGAAACCTCCAAGAACTGTAAGAAATAAACCTTTCCTTCCTTCATTTTGAGTGTTGGGTATTTTGTCCCAGCAGCAAGTAAAAAGTAAGTAAGACAGAATTTGGTACCAAGAGTGGGGTCATTGCTGTGACTACACCTAATCATGTGGGTAGAGAGCCTTTGGAAATGGCTTGTGGGCAGAGTTTGGAAACATTCAGAGATGTAGCCTGAGTGCATAGAGTTGGAACAGCTTAGGCTGTTCTGTAAAGGAGATTCTGGTCAGAGCTCAGGAGACCAGAAGGCTGATAGAAAGCCTGCCTGTAAAGACCAGGCTCAGGAGATTTCTTCTGGGAATAAGGACTACATTGGTTGTTGGACTCCAGACCATGTGTGTTATGGCTTGGCAGGAAGTTTGTCTGCATTTTGCTCATACCCAGACACTTTGCCAGAGACTGAGATTAAGAGTGGAGGACTGATTAATCTGGCAAAGGAAATTTCAAGGCAGTTGAATATAGAGTCAGTGGCATGGTTATTGTTGGGGGCTTTTAGCCAGATTTACCTTGCAAATCAAGAGCAAAAAGCCCAGCAGGATAATTTAAAACACTGTGAGTTTGGCCAGAAGGAAAACTCCAGTAAAGCTGTGGATTATAAAGATAGAGCTGAGACTTTGATTACTGAGAAGGAACAGAGAAATAAGAAAGTAGCTTGGGGGCATCCCAGGTGGCAGAGGATCTCCATCCTTTGCAGTCTCAAAACTGCAAAAATGAAAGACCTTGCTCAAAGGAGAAAGTTGCAGAGCACCATGCTCCAGAATGGTGATGGAGGCCACATGAGATTCCAAAATGGCAGCAGCCACATCATTCAGAATGGCAGTAACATAGAGAAGCTTTCCCTCACAATCAGATTCACAGAGCCTAGCAATCGAGGCCCTCAACCACCACAGCCAAGAGAGAGAAAAGCCTGGCTACTGCTCCAGCTGGCAGCAATCAGCATCATCCACATGGTGCTGATTTTAGGTGCAAGGAAAAGGCAAAAATTCTGAGGGTAAGATGGCTTCCACCTCGATTGCAAATGGCCTGGGAGGCCAAGCAGTATATCCTTGAGAGGGCAATATGTAAAGATATAAGGGTGAAGCCAAAGGTTCAGTAAAGACCCCAGAAGTTTGGAAAACCCAGGAGGGTAGACTATCCAAGGAAAGCTGCAGAAACTGAGCAGAGGGTGCTTAAGAGAGAAGCTGTGGGACCTGAAATCCCTGGAAGTGCCATGAGGGCAGAATTACCCTTTTGGAGCTTGCAACCAGATTGTTCAAATACTGAGCACAGAACTCTAGGACTTAATGTTCACCCTGCTGGATATTAGACTTGCTTTAGTTCCAATGCTTTGTATTGCCCTGTTGGTAACTTTTGGAATGGTAATGTTTATCTTGTACCTTTGCATTTTGGAAATGTTTAACCTTGTTTTATTTGTATAGGGGGTTACAAGGAAGAGTTTGCCATAGATCTGCAGGAGACTTGGGACTTGGACTTTTCAGCAATGCTGAAACTTTTAGGACTTTGGCAATGCTTGGAGATGGACTAAAGGTATTTTTTTATAAAGGTTGTGCATGAGTCTTGGGGGCCAGGGATGAATTGTCATGTTTTATGTCAGTAGCCCCCAAGCATCATGCAATCATGTATTTGTGACTGGTTCATGGTCTAGCACTTGGATTGGTGGTGTGAGTGCTATACCCACCTAGGGGTGGAACCAGGATATGACATCATGGCTGGAAGAAGGTGACAACATAAATATCAAAAGACTATTTACAAAAATAATATCAGAAAAATTTCCAAACATGGGAAAAGAAACTAACATTCAGGTAAGTGAAGCATATAGAACTCCAGTTATCTATAACCAAAATAAATCTACCCCCACACATACAATAATCAACATCCGAGAAACTAAACATAAGAACAGAATATTAAAAGCTGTTAGAAAAAAGAGATGGATTACCTATAAAGGAAAGCCCATCAGAATCACAACAGACTTCTTAACACAAATAGTGAAGTCTAGAAGAGCATAGGGTGAAGCATTTCAAATCCCAAAGGAAAATGACTTTCAACCCAAATTGAAGTTGGAATAGATGGTCTTTATGTCAACCTGATAAAAGCCATCTATGATAAACCATCAGCTAGCATCACATTAAATGATCTGTAACTGAAAGCTTTCACTCTAAAATGAGAAACAAGACAAAGATGTTCAGTATAGTGCTAGAAATATATAGCCAGAGCAATTAGACAAGAAAGAGAAATAAAAGGAATAAAGATAGAAAAGAAAGAAGTTAAACTATCATTATTTACAGATGACATAACACTCTGTATAGAAGACCCCCAAACTCCATTGAAAGAATTTTAGATGTAATAACCAAATGTAGTAATGTAGCTGGATATAAAGTCAATACTCACAAATCAACAGCATTCCTCTACATAAACAACAAATTCTCTGAGTTTGTTGAAAGGGAAATAAGAAAAACCACACCCTTCATGGTAGCATCCAAAAAAATGAAATACTTAGAAATCAATATAACAAAGGAAGTTAAAGATCTATTCAGTGAAAATTACAGTACTCTGAAAAAAGAAATCTAAGAGGATTTCAGAAAATGGAAAGACATTCCTTATTCATGGACAGGAAGAACAAACATTGTGAAAATGGCCATTCTATCAAAATTATTACATATACAATGCAATTCCAATCAAAATACCATTATCATATCTCACAGTTCCAGAGAAATAATTCTTCAAATTCATATGGAACCTGAAAAGACCTAGAATAGACAAGGCAGGAGACATCATAACTTGAAGCCATGCAACAAAGCTACTGTGATAACATCAGCACGCTACTGGCAAAGAGAAACAGACCAGAAGATCAATGGAACAGATTAGAAGATACGACTACAACTACAAACATATTCAGCTATCTTATCTTTGACAAAAGTGCCAAACACATTAACTGGAAGAAAGATAGCCTCTTTAACAAGTGGTGCTGGAAAAACACTATATAGGCTGAAAATTAAAACTAGACCCACTCCTATCACCATGCACTAAACTAAAGTGCATAGTCACTTTAAAATCAAAATGGATCAAAGATTTAAATATTAATACAGAAACACTAAATCTCCTGGAAGAAAAGTAGGTAGAAAACTTGAAGATATAGGGGTAGATAGAGAATTCATGAATAGGAATCAAACTGCACATGAAATACTTCCCAGGATCAATAATTTGGATCATGTTTTATTAAAAAGCTTTTTCATATCAAAAGAAATCTCCAACAGAGTGAAAAGAAAACCCACGAACTTCGAAAAAATCTTTGTTAACTGTCCCTCAGACAGTTCTATCTTGAACATACAAAGAATTTTAAAAATTCAGACCTCTGAAATTCAAAGACCCAATCCAAACATGGGCATCTGAGATGAATACATGCTTCTCAGCTGAAGAAATACAAATGGCAAATAAATACATGAAAAAATGTTCCCCATCTTTGTTATTAGAGAAATACAAGTTAAAACCACATGGAGATTCCATCTCACTCCAGAAAGAATGGCCACGATCAAGAAAACCACCAATAACAAATGCTGAAGACCATCTGGGGAAAAAGGAACACTTCTGCACTGTTGGTGGGAGTGTAGACTGGTGCATC